ATTATACAATTTCATATAGCAGTTTCTAATTTTCAGATTCTTCATATAAGTCATTGACTAAATCTGATGTAGGAAAATCAAACCAAAATTGATGTCTGCTCTTAGGCATAAGTGGGACTAGTGTTTGTATAATACTTTGTTTTTTTTCTGGTTGAATGCCTCTTAATTCATTTTTTTGCTGTGGTCTTACAAAATCATTTTTTAAATATGAAGGTTTTAAAAAGTCTAGCATTCTTAATGGAGTATACTCATCATATGTACAAGAATATAATAAGTATTTGAGTCCTCTTTCCGCTCTTATATGAACTAAGCTATTCAACATTGGACGATTAATATTTTTTTTTAATTTATAAATAGAGCATTCTGACTTCCAATCAAAAAAATCTTTGCCATCTAATACTTTAACATCAACATGGCCTTTATTTGAATTCTTTATTGATTTTTCATAATCACAAAAGTCATAGATTTTACCCATTTGTTTCATGGAAAGTTCAACCTGATGGTGGAATGAATCCGCAGACATAAAACAATGGCCTGGTTGAAAATAGAAAATATCGATCACCATAGTTTCAAGTTCTTGAGAATTAATCATAAAAATGTAAACAAGCACCAATTCTTATTTTGAGCAGAACAGTTGTCTAACCAAATAGTTATTTTTTTCATGTCTTTGTAAAATAAAAAAAAAGCATAGTAACAACTTGTCAAGTCTTCTTGTTTTCTACCACTTATTCCTTCGTGCCATATTACTGCCAAGGGTTTAATTGAACTTCTAGGTCCGACTGGAACAAAACTTTCATTAAATGCTATGACCCTCTTTGTGAAAATTGCAGCTTTGAAATTGTCCATTCTTGGTAACATGATGACTTTTTGTAAGTCGACCGATACATACAATTCATCTCCTAATAAAACAATTCAGAAATTTTAATACAAGAATACAATTATTCAAATAAGTATAATTTTTTACTTTACCATTTTTGGTTTTTTTTTTATTGTTCATCATATTTAATGCGGGTGTTTGTGTACATTTCAAAATGAAATGACCATTTTTTACATCCATCACAGTCACTGTTTTCTTGAGCATTATGTCTATTATGATTTGGGTCATGTTGAAAGAAAGTTTCACATAACTCACACTCTTCATGTCCAAGTTTTGTAAATGATATATTCATTTTCTTTAATACTTGCCTATACATATCATATGAACACTTAAAATCAGGATTTTTTTCTTGAAAGTCAGACAACATAGATGTGACTGTAATTTCATTTGACAAATATTTTTTTAAAGGTGCATGTTCTCTTCTATAATGTGCAACTGAAGGATTGAATGAATTTATATGAGACTTAATTGGTTCTACATCTATTTTGTTCCACGGTTCTCGTTTAGAATTATTTGATGGAGATACAATTATAGAACTATTATTTTCACTGCTTGAACAAATTTTTTGAATAAAAGAGTCATTGTTCTTGGAAAATCCCAAAGTTGCTAAATAAAATTGCTTACATACATATTTAAATGACCCATCTGAGTTTTTCAATAAATAAGAAAATGACCAATTCCTTTTTTTTTCATTATTAACTACTCCTCTACGACGCTGTACACATTTTCTTTCAATTGAGCTCACAACNCTCATTATTAACTACTCCTCTACAACGTTGTACACATTTTCTTTCAATTGAGCTCACAACAAATAACTCTTGTTCTTTTTTTGAAAGAGTCCAGTACTGCATATTTATTTCGGTCCTCAAACTTTCAGGAATATGTTGTATACAATTTTTTTTACAAGTTATACAACAGGGGGACCGTAGCTTATGCTTATCACGTTTTAATTGCATTTTCATATTGTTCCTTTCAGTAATAGTAGTTGTATAACGACGGCGCTTCCTCTTTGTTCCTTTTTTAGTTACACCAGTTCCTATTTCATCATGGATATCACTACCTGAAATGTGTGATACTCCACTATCATATTCATTGTTCTATATTAAAATAAACAAATTAAAATAAGTAGTTACCTATTTTATTTACTACNCCATGTCGAGGCCATAATATTCTTAACAATATCAGTTAAGTAAATGACAAAATAATATATCAAATAATCATTATTTTTTATTCATAAAATTTGACTGAAGTTATGTCACGTACATACCCTTTTTTACCAATGTATGAACATAAGCCAATACACGGTAACTCCATTATTTTTCATGTGATATACTAAGTTTTTGCTTAGTATTTGGATTTACCGTGTTTTCGCTTACAAAACATCAAATATATTGGACTTACCGTATATTTTCTTATTTTAAATTTCATTTTTAGATGGGTTTTAATAGGAAATATGCTATTTTTACATCAAAAATCGGTGTAAAACCACTAATTTTACANTGGACTTACTGTATATTTTCTTATTTTAAATTTCATTTTTAGATGGGTTTTAATAGGAAATATGCTATTTTTACATCAAAAATCGGTATAAAACCACTAATTTTACATATAGAAACAAAAAAAAAAAAAATTTTTAAATTTTGGAGTTATCCTGTTTTTGCTTAGCACGGCAGAATTAATGTAGCTGCTATGGAGGTTGAATTTAAAAATTTTAATAAATTAAATTGTAAGATTATTATATTTATTTTTACTCTTCAAATTATGAAGGTTTAATAAATTTATGTAATATTGCTATTTTTAAATGAATTTTGAAATTTGTGTTACATGAACAGCAGTGTTTCAAACTTGAAATAAACACGTTTTAGGTAAATAGTTATAAAGTGCAAATTTGGAAATTTTAAAACTTTTATCCTTAACTACGTCGATAATGAGTATTTTTTATTATTTTACTGTTAGTGGCCTCAAAAAAAAATTTGCCCCGGGCATCCAAAAGTCTAAATCCGGCCCTGGGGCGGTTGATAAGAAAGTAAAGCAGAGAATAAGTTTAGCAGAGATGAAAATGCTTAGTTGGATGAGTGGAGTGACTAGAAAAGATAGAATAAGGAACGAGCATATAAGAGGGAGTATAAGTGTAGCGTGGATAAGATGAAAGAAAATAGACTTAGATGATTTAGTCATGTTATGAGGAGAGAAGAATCGGAAGCTGTAAGAACAGTTATAGTAATGAATGTTGAAGGAAGAAGAGATAGAGGAAGACCAAAAAAAAGATTGAGGGATATTATTGAATGCGATATGAGGACAGCTAATGTGAGCGTAGATGATGTGGAGATCATGTCAAGTGGAAATTAAGGATGAGGGTGGCCGACACCAAGTAGTTGGGATTAAGGCAAAGATAAAGAAAAAGATTAGCAGAAATTCCGGTGGCAATTGACATAATATAATTGTTGTTTGGGAATGTACAATTTAGCGTTTAGTTGGCTTTAAACAATATAGCGTCAAATCAATTACCTACTCTATCGGTTGTATCTTAATATACACTACACTTTAATGATACTATAAATAAATAAACTCACACATACACACATATGCATTTATAACATTGTGTCTAATGTAAGTATAACATGATAAAAAGTAACCGTAAAATGAAAAAAATTGGAAAATAAATTTTAGTACTCATATTAAATGTAATGTAACTCGAAAAATATTTGTTTAAATGAAAAAATATAAGATACCTTTTTTGTTTAAAATTGTTTTTTAAATAACTTTTGTACGATACTTTTTTTTGTAAGTTAAATATTTTTTGAGAAAATTAAAAAAGCTCATATTTTTGAACTTTTGCGAGGCTGTAAAAAAAAAGCTCAAGTCCAATCGATGAGGACTTTTAGTATGTCATTATACATATCTTAATTCAACTTTAAAAAAAAAAAAATTTCGTTGGGAATTTTTTCCGCCATTTTTCCTTCGTTGACTGGTCTATTACCGTTCTTTAAATTACTTTTATGGTCTTTTGAAAAGAATTCTTATTAGATTAAACCATAATTCTGATTACTAGCTGAACATTTAACTCATAACATAGGTTCTTTCAAAATCTATCAATATCAGGTATAAATATAAAAATTGTTTGCAAGTGATGAATTATTTAAAATATACTATAGACTGAGAGCTATGAACTCATAAAATATTTTTTACATTATTTTACATTACTTAGTATTAAAGTTCCTAAGGATATTAAAGTCAGATCCTGATAGTTTTCAACATACTATGTTCTAAACTTTGATGATTAAGATTTCACACTTAAAATTAAATACCAATAAATAAATAAATAAATAAAACACAAAATAATTTTCATCATATTTTATTATTTTTTTCGTTTCTTTTTTTAGTTCATTTTTATAATTTTTAAAAATTTTATAAATTATAAGTATAACATAAAAATAGTAGATGATAATATATTGTTTTCTATCCTTAACACAATAATATTATATATATAAGAATAATTATAAATAATCCGTTGCGATTTTCTTAATTTTTTTTTTCTTACCAATATAATAATGTAGTAAATTATAGTATGGAAAAATTGGTATAAAATTTATGTAAGAGAAAATCGGACGGGATTTCATAACATTTTCATATTATTGCATGCAAGTCACATAAAAAAAAAAAAAAATACTGTTCACACTAAAATTAGTATTTTTAAATAATCACAAAATTCAACTAAAAACATTTGTGTGCGAGACGGAATTCTTATAACATAAAAAAAAAATTAAATTAAAACACGTGGAATTGGTAATGTTTATCGTCAATTACTTATTGTACTACAAAATATATTTAACAAAAAAATAATAATAATAAATTAACACTAACAAATCAACAAAGAAAGTAAAATGGGTTTCATGTATATTTTTAATTAAAACAAACCCTGGGACAAATGGAAATGAGGGGATTATTCTAGATTGTATACATGTAACTAACTTTATGAATCAAAAAAATATTTTTTATGTTAAGGCAATATAAATCAGACTTTGGTTTATCATTTTTATATTTTATAATAGTTTTATATCAATGTAAAATCTAAAAAAAAGTCGTATAATACAGTCTAACATTTTTCTATAATCTCTTTAATCATTTTTTAAATTTAATTTAAAAAGGCAATTGAAAAAATGACTTAATCTTTTTTTATTAATTGAACAATAATAATGTATCAAAATTGTCCGACATTATATTAATTAAAGCTTGCACCAAAATTTATTATCAATGATAAGTAAATAAATATAAACTCTTGTATCTTAATTGTTTTAATAGAATTATAGAGAAGGGAGAAAATTATTACCATTTTAAAAATGGTTAACATCAAACAAAAAGAACAAAACCTACCCACATTAATATTTTATCTTTCGAACACAATATTGTTTACTGTACTATGATCAAAAGATAAAAAACGACAAAGTCAAAACCGTTAGTGCCCCACAAAGTCATTCATTATTTACAAAAAAACAAATTATAATAATAATAAACATTGGTGTCGTTTTGTACACATTTGGCTACTACATACATATATATTACTTTTCAAACTAAGGTAACTCTTAAAATTAATAAAATTAATTTTTATTATTTAGAATGTTTGGCTTGAGCATAATGCTCACCTTACAATCTTTTAAATTTAACTAAGCGAGGAATGAATTCCTACATAAATAATATAGTTTGTTATAAACGCAACTCTTAATTCTTTATACATTTCTTTTTTTTTTTTTACATTTAAAATATTATAACTAATATTATTTACACAACTTAATCAAAAATTTACTGGTTATAAAAATATAGAAAGTTTTATATCAATGTGTTAATTATTTTATGATTTTTTTTCTATAATTTTTTAATGATTTTAATTTTTTTTTTTTAATTTTTGGGTTGCTTTGTTTAAAGAATAAAATAAAGAACTAGCTTAACAAGACATTTTGTAATAACATGCATATAATATAATACCAAAAAATATATAATATGCATATTATTTTGATTATTATAATCCCATATCAAACTTACCCAGACCCAATGTTTTTTTTAAGAACATTGATAATATTTTTAACTTACTAAAACCAAAACGGTTCTTTCAATTTAAAATTATAAATAATATATTATATATTATTATAACTTTCAAATTAATATTATGTATATATATATATATATTTTATATTAAATTTAAATGTAAAAATATATTTATGAATAATTTCTCATTTTAAACAATTTAAAAAGAATAAAACAGAAAATAATGAAGAAATCTAGATTAATGCTGTACAAAATTTATATATACATTTTATGTAATATAATATAATATAAAATGGTCAATATAGTAGTTTTGCTAATTGGAAAGAAGAGACAACATAAGAAAGTTAAACCTCAACAAATAATAGCAACAATATACATGTCTTCTGTAGAATATCATTTACTTAATTCCGAGAAATTTTTGTTTAATATCATGGAAGATAATTCTTGATGTTAAACTCAGATCGCATTCGAGATATTGCTATGCGAGCATACAAAGTAAGGTCATAACCAGTACTATGTAATGTAAGAGGGCCACAATGACGATCCATTTCAACAAAGAAATCTGCTAAAACATTTAATAGTAGACACTTAATAATTACTGATTTTTTATTATTATTATTATTATTTTACTTACGGGTGTGTTTTCCACGCATTACTAATAGATCAGCGCGATCCCACATATCATGTGCTGCAGATAAATGTGAATACATTTGATGCTCAGTATACATTGCATTGTGAACAGCCAATGGTACTGCAATGACACTGGAGCCCACTCCAGATGCTGCTGCTTGTCCATTTGGAGTAATATTACTGCTACAGTAACCCGACGAATGACTTTCCACAGAACTAGCAGGTGATGGAGATGGTGAAATAGGACTTGAGCCCACAGTCTATTTTTGTATAAAAATGATCAAAACATGTACATATAAAATTAATATAAGTATTTTTACCTTCAAGAAGTGTTGCTGTACAGTCTTGTAATTTTGTCTATTCTGATATAGGAGTAAATTGAATAGTTTTAACCTCAAGAAACTCAAACACCTCATCCTACATAAAAAAATAAATATTACTTAAAAATATTACTTTATATAAATTTATAGTTTCATTTAGTGAAATAAAACTTACCATAATATTAACAACCTATTATCCCTTTCGGGATTGTCAGCCATTTCAAATATTTCGTCTAACTCTTCATGATCACAGTCTGCACGATAATTATAAATTTTCGACCAAATAACTCTAAATTAATAATTAAAATGTTAATTCATTCAAAAATCAAAAATTTTAATTTAACAAGTCTCTATTACACCCTGTGTTATTAGATGTACTTACTTGATCAAGTCAATAGTATCATTATAAATTTTGAGAACAGCTCGCTCCCTGGTCCCATCATTTTCCATCAAATGCCCACTAAGAACAAAGCATAAAATTCCATCTAAATATTTCATTTCTTGTGTAATAGGATCAGGTTCATATTCAGCTAATTTAGTCAGTGCTTGTGCTTCTTTTAAGGGAACTTCTTGATGTAAACTAAAAAAATTGATTATTAAATTAAATTTAAATGAATATCAATTAAACAAAGTTAGCAAAGAACACATTAGAATCATTAATTATACTTACTTGGGTACTGTTTTATCTGAATAGTAATCAGAAGCAAAGTAAGAGAAGAATCTTCTTTTGGTATTTGGTTGGTGGTGCATGGATTGTAATCGCCATGATGGTTGTCTTGGAGGTGGCTGTGTAGGGACTTCATGCATACGATCAACCATAATATCATTCATTAGTCCATCTCCCTTTATATCCAAATAAAAATAAGAATACAACTTTTGAAAGGTTGAGTTCAAGAGAGAAAGAAAGCAATTTTAAGAAATATATATAAAATCAATAGCAAGTAAAATCATTATACATACTCTTGCAGTGGCATATCTTGCTAATTGAGCTGAACCAGGAGAGTTCATGAACTTCCTTCTCTTAGAAGATGTAGAGTACTGATCCAATTCAAGGGCACGTTTATACCTTGGATCCATTATCTGAACAGGTGCTCCATATGAGTGAAATGGTGGAGGACCTTCTTCTTCTTCTGAGGTTTCTTCATATGGTCCATGTAATACCCCACTAGTAGCTGTGGGCCGTTGCAAGTAAGGCATTGTACTATAAAAAAAAAAAAAAACTCAACTTTAAACAAATTACTTTTTCATAATATTACAATAATATTAATCATAGTTAAAAAAAAAAAATTATTATAACAATAAAAACCACTCACTTAGTAGGCATATGCTCAAGTGGCTTTACTTTAGCTTCAGGTATTACAGCACAAACTGAAGTTGGTTTCCGCCATACATTGTCCATCATATTTTTGGAATAACCATCAGAAGAGGAGGGCTGCAATAAGGGCTGAGTAAGAGCTACATTACTAGCAGGAGATTCATTAGTTTTAGCCTTTTCTGGCCCAAAAGATGATTGTGATGATGATGGACTACTCTTATGATGGTGTTTATGGTGTCTGTGTTTTTGTTTTTTATCCAAATCTTGCCTTGTGTTAGCTAGATCGGCACGACACCTTAATTCTTCTGAACGACCATTTTTAAGCAGGTAATTTAAATTAGACAATTTACTCAATGGTATCTTACACATTAAGGACATAGATTTAGTACATTCTACAGGTTCTTTGGGCATAGGAGGTATCACTGGCACAGGAGATATTACACGTTCGTTATCATTTCTCATGGCCTCATTATTATCGATGATTATTACACCACCTTTTCCACCTTTGCCACCCTTAGATTTTCCACCACATTTAGGTTCTTCTCGTCGTGTCCTAAACAACTTACGCAAAGTATCATTTTTTTTCTTATCTTGCACTTTGACACCCTCTACATCCAACTTGGGAGGACTTTCTGTAGTAGCTGATGAAATAACAGCTCTTGGCCTGCACTCTACATCAGACAAGTCAGATTCTGCACTACTAGACATTGACCGTACTGGACGCATAGCAGCACTAACCCTGGCCACTGGTTTTTGTGGTTGATTTTTTTCCCAAGATGGTGTTTTCTTTATTGAATATGATGATGATTTCTTTTCTGTTTCTTTCTTACCCCTGCTCTTCCTACTACTGTCTGTCCATTCTTCAGATTCACTACTAGCAGATATTACTTTGGACTTTTTGCTACCAGGTGGGCGACCTCTACGCTTTTCACTAGTTTTCGCTGGTTTAGGTGGTGGATTGTCATCTTCCGAATCAGATGATATTAATGGTTTCGATTTTATCTTTGATAGTTGTAGTTTTGGCGCATTAGTTGATCCTTTCTTTCGACCTCTCTTCTTCTTTACAGGCTCTTCAGTTGTTTCATAATCCTTTTTCACAGCAATTGGTGGTGGTGTTGACATCACAACTGACGGTTGTTTTCTTTCTGCAGTCACTGTGACAGCTAAAGGTTTAGTCACAGGCTTATCCATAGACTTTTTCAGTTCTTTTTTCTCGCATTTAGCCAACACTGAATACTTCTTATGCAAATCAGTAACAGGTTTGGTAAACGCACGTGAATGACTATTGCACGACGAATCACTATCACAACTACTTTCACAAGTCTTTTTCTTTTTGTCATCTTCATCCTCGGATGATGATGATGATGATGAAGATGATGAGGAAGAAGAGGACTGGCTCTTTTGTTTTTCGCTGTGGTTTGAGTCCGAATCAGACATCTCAGACAACAGTTCAACTACCCCTGACCTTTGACTTTGGAAGCCAGGACTAGACTTAGGATCACTCATTCCAGATGGTTCTTCCTAATAAATAACATAAAAATTAAATTTAAACAAAAATGAAAATACTTTTTACTATTTATACATATACTACATATATTTTATAGTAATATAGTATACCTGTTGAGATGTTCTTGAGGTGTTGTTGGTATCTGGAGTGCTCTTCTTCAAAAAGTTTTTCAAGTACCATCTGGGCTGTTCTTCTTCTTGTTCCTGCTGCCTAGGAGGTGAAACAGCTGGTGGTTCTTTCTTCTCGTCACTACTCTCACTATCACTGCCACTGCTATCTGAACTGCTATCCTTTTCACCTTCTTCGCTGGACGAACTATCCTCGTCTACCGACATGTCACTGCTAACTTTCTCAGTTCTGCTATTAATAACACATTATCGTCATTAACAATTACACAAACACTTAGATACGTTCAACGTTTAAAACTATTGAACATTCCACACACCTGTTGGAATTATTAGCGTTATCCGAAAGAACATTAGTTGACGTTGAACTTCGGCGGCTTTTATCCACAGGCGATAACTGTTGAGGCTCCTGGGCAAAAATCGAAAATTAACACAATCACAACCATGGAAATTTTTATTTTTATTGTTACCTGTGACGCCTGTGGTTGTGGTACTATATTGGATCCTCTCACCGAAGGTTTCACCATATACCTGTACACGTATGCAAACAGCAAACAAATACAAATTTAAGTAAATTATTATTAAAAACGGTTTACAGCCGACATGAAAACTTACGAAGCGAATAACGAATGATTGTACGGTCCTGACGGTTTAGCGTCCATAGGTACGTCAGGGGAAACATGGGAAGTTGGCATTTGCTGTGAAGGCCTATGCACCGGCTCGGGAAACAACTGTTGCGGATCGCCAAGCATTTTCTTTAGGCTTTCCGAAGCGTCTACAAAGAAAACATGACAAAATAGTCCACAATGAGTAAAATATTATTACACATACTTTAGTAGTACACACACTATTTCGATTTTAACGCGAAACGCACACGCGACTACGACTGGCACTGATGCCCTACTATTATTTTATTTCTAACCAAAAGCAGGGACGCTGTGAATTTAGTTTTTTCCTTGGGGTGACCGAGTGAAAAGAATTAACAACACTAATATATGACTGAAAAGGGGGATTGTCGATCAAATACTACGCAATAAGGGCGATGACGACAACAGCAATGGATTTAAATAATAATATCGTATACATGGGAACAGTTTTATAAGTGAACAGATATACCTGTTGTTTGAGTAATGCTCAGACTGCCGCATACGTGTATAATAAGCGAAAGAATAACGAAAAGAAAAAATTGAAAGCATCTGGTTTTGTTTCTTCCCTTACACAATTATCTAGAGGGGGTAACCAGCTGCAATGTTCGTTTTAGCGTTTGAACAGGAACACTGTGCCCTTCTTCTACTCTGTTAATAATTATTTATAAACGGGATGTGGTTTACAAAAAACATACCCAGGTAATACTTTGTGCTTTTAATGTAATTAAATGTATATCCTCTATGGATGGAATGCAACATTGTATTATAAGGATTCATTGTAATTCAAGTAAAATAATCAACTTAATATGAACCTATTTTAACAAAACTAAATAATATTACAACCAACAATTATGGACAGTACTAACAAAAAAACAAATACTGACATTTATAACATTAAAAAATTGATTTAACATATATAGTAAAGTATATAAATTGTATATAGTAAAGGGAAAAATTTGAAAATTGTTATTTACTTTATTTGAAACGGCCTTTCAATCAGGAGAGTCATTAGAGGATGGCAAGACGAGCAGTCGTCCGTATTTATTTTTAAGTGGCATGAAAATTATGTATTCAGCTGGATTAGGTTAATCAAAAGAAATGATATCTTCAACAAAAACCTAACTATGAAAAAGGACAAAGTTTCAACCCCCCCCCCCC